CACTAAGTGCCACATCCAGTCTCCTCCATCGCCCCCGTGCTCCTCCCCCACGCCGCAGTACATCAACCCCCGCAGGGTGCTGTGGGCTCCTGCCACTGCTGGAACTGGGCTAATACCCAGTGTGAGAAGGGGTGATGGTTTTACCTTCTTTACTTCCAGGAAGAGCAGCACAGGCAGCCTGTGCAGTCCCAGGACTGCCTGTCTCCCCCGCAGCAGTGACCAGCCCTGGCCCTGGGCACCCCAACTCCCTCCTCTGAACCTGTGCTGCTTGCCCAGCCTTGCCCCTGTCTCCAGATATTCCTAAAAGCCCAACAGAGCTTTTCTGGAGAACTCAGCTCTGCCAATGACCAAGTCTCTGCTTTGGACAAGCGAAACATTAAAGCACAGCTCAACAAAAGATGCTTTGCTGCTAGTTTGTCTCTTCATTTTCCATCACCCTTTGCTGAGCAAAGCTTAGGCACTGGGTGCCTTCAAGCTGCATACAAACATGAACTCCCTGCCTGAAGCAGTGCACAGCTCCTCTCTTGCTTCCCCACACTTGCAGCCACAGCAGTGGTAAGGGAAGAAGCAAAGCTGACCCACAGAAACATCTGACCCACATCAACAATGGACCTTCCCCCTCTGTGCCTGCTTTGCCAGTTTTCCTGTCCCCTGCAGCAAAGTCCCAGTTGTCTGATCTGCATCCACTCAAAAGCCACTGTCCCTTGGCAGCAGCTTGGACTGACAGGCAAAGCTCCTGTCCATAGGGTAAGAGGCAGAGAGGATTGTGCTGGCACAAAACACAGCACTGATCCAGGCCTGATGGGCAAGATCCTGGTTTTTACCCCAATGCTGTCACATGCAGCCAGGCAAGGTCAGTCTCTGGAGCAATCCAGGTGTGTTAGTGAACCCAACACAACAGCCCCAGCAGGATGGGGAATGGTTTATTCAGATTCTAAAGGAAGGGTCTGGAAAACTGATCTTATGCCAAGAGTAAAATCAGTGGATAAAACCAAAATAAAATGGAACACAGATGTATTCTCACCCCTAATTTAACTTAACAATTCACTGCATCCCATTTCACTGTCGACTCTCCTCCTGTGACCTGGGTTCTCGTGCCTGGTTCCATCCCTCCTCACTAACAGACCTGCTCCCCTTCTTCTGGCAGACCCAGGGCCCCTCCAAGCCCCTCACACCTGATCTTTTGCAGAGGTCCCACCTGCTGCTGTTCCACCACCAACAGCCTAAAACCCCAAAATTAAAAAACAGTTCTGAGAGAAGAATTTTTGGCTAAAAGAAAAACACCACATGGCCTGGTGAGCCCCAGGAGCAGGAGCTGTGTGGGCAGATCCTGTCGGCACAAGGACTGGCGCTGGAGCTGGAGCTGCAGCCCAGGGAGATCTATGATGGCCCAGCAGACCCAGAGGCCAAGGAGAGCTCAAGTCCCACGGTGCCGGCGGCTCCGTGCGCTCCGAGGCCTGCGGAGAGCGAGGCAGCTCTCGTGGAGCACAGCGTTCCCACCACGGTCTCTCTCAGTTTACTGTTTTAAGCTTCTTGGTTGGCAGTTCCTGATGGTTCTTGACTTGTTTCCGCTTCTGGCACGCTGCTTCCTTGTTCTCCCCTGCCGTGAGCTTGTCCAGGATTATGGCTGTCTCCTTGAGGAGCCGTAGCTCCCGCTTCTCCTTCCGCTCCTCCATCTCCACTATGTCGTCTGCAAACAGAGCCTTCAGGGCAGGGATCAGCTTTGGGATGGCTCCAAAGTCACCCAAACGAACCTGGAACAGGCACAGGAGCATCTGCATGAGAACTGCTTTTTGTTTGCTCTCCTCCCCCTTGCCCTCGGCCTGTGCATGACCTTGGGCCCTCCTGACCTCGCCGAGTCACTGTGCTGCGACCAGTACAAGTTCTGAGCGACACTGAGCTACCCTCACTGCCTTCTGCCCAATGGCAGCAGCTTCTGCCCCCCAGATATGCTGCAGAAAGCAGCTCACCAGTCCAGAAGAGTGGGGATGGAAGCAAAATGAGGTTTTGGGCTGCAAGTAGCCATGAGGTGCCATGAGGCAAGTGTCAGTGTTAGAAGTGGGATTCAAGAGCCACCAGCACCTGTCAGCCCGTGTCCCCTTTCCCCACATGGCGATGCTGCCAGCAGCTAAAGGAGCTGTTTCAGGGGAGATGGTGTATCCATACAGGTAGAGAATTTACATAGCCATCCCAAAGGAACATGGAAACCTCTCCCACAGCCCAGCCCAAAGCTCCCAACTCACCCTCATATGGTCAAAGGCAATTCCAACCTTCTCACTGAAGTCCTCACTGAACAGTGGGATCTTGGCATACCTCTGACTGAAGTGATTGAGCATGATGAACTCTGCATTCATCTTCATCCCAGTCTGGATTGCCTGGGAGGTCGTGCTGCAAGGGAACAGGAGCACACAGTGTTGCCTGGTGGCAGACGGGCAGGGCAGGCTGCTCTGCTCCCAGGGTCACGTCACAAGGCTCCCTGCAGCACCCCCAGGCTCCTCTCCTCACAGCCTGCACTGCTGCAAGTCTCTGACTTCCACACAACCCACGTGCAGGAGAGCAGCTATCACTGCTGGAGCTCTGCATTGATGAGCTGCACAAGCTGAGGACAGGACAGGTTCAAACACCTGTCCAGGGGTGCCAGCACACCCAGCTCTCTTGCATTATGACTGGCAGGTAATCCCAAGCAGCTGCTCATGTCTCCCCCATTTTCTGGGGGCAGCACATGGAATCCCTGGCTGCAGCACTCACTGGAATTTCACAGTGAGCTGAGGGGGTAAGATGACTCTCCTACCCCTGAGCTTAGGCCCCAGATGTAATCAAGCAAAAACCCTTCTCCTTAGGCTAGTCTATTTGCAGTTACTACTGCCTACTTGAAAGCTTCCCCTCATTCCTTTTCCCATCCTTTTGGGGGATGTTGAGAGGAGCTGTGATGATTCCAGAGCTGCCACAATGATCAACACACCATTTTTAGTGTGGAAGAGCTCTGTGTGCACCTACTACAAGTCTTGGGCCCTTCACCACCTGCTCCAAGGACAACATCCATCTCAGCACCTTTCCCTTCTGACAGACAGCAGAACACATCCCACCTGTGAGTCTTCTCTATAGCTTCTCTTTCCATGCCATCTTCCAGAGTTGCCTCATGGATCAGCAGGGTGGCATTCTTACCTGTGTAAATAGACACAACTCAATCTTCAGCTAATTAGTTCCATGGCCCCCATGAGCTCTGCTTTGCCCCCCTCAGCCCCTCCCTGTGTGACAGGCACAGCACCAAGGCTCTGGGGGTGCCATATACTGACAGCTGGAGAACCTTTCCCAAGAGGTTCTTCACGCAGAGGGTTTTCTCACCTACCCATATGCACCAGGGCCATGCAGGGCATTGTGTCACCAGAGTAGACAACTTTCCAGCCAGATTTGTGGATCACTGAGCATGCAAAAGCATTTTTACAGTGCTGGACTTCACAGGTCTGAAACTGAACAGGGATACAAATGTTAGAGCCCAAATCTTCTCCTGCCCCTCACAGCCACTGAGCCCCAGCTCAGGAGCTTACCTCAGACAGGTCATAGCTCTCTAACAGAGAGCTCACAAACCCCTTGGCTTTAGGTTTGATGTTCTCACAGCCTTTCACGAGGGAGAGGGAAGGAATCATTCTGTGAGGGAGGGAAGAAGAGAGAACTAAGGACAGACACAAAATAAAACCTGATCTTATACTTATGCAGCCAATTTCTCCTGTTTCTCCTCCTCAGTTCAGCACCTTATAGGTACGTTTTGGTGCACCTGTCTCTGTTTTACCCCATGCATTCACTAGTGCCTCACTGTCAAATAGTCTCTATTCCACTTGCCCAACTTCCCTTTCATAGATTCATAGTATGTTACGGGGTTGGAATGGACATTAGAGATGATCCAGCCCCAACCCCTGCCCTGGGCAGGGACACCTCCCACCAGAGCAGGTTGCTCAAGGCTCATCCAACCTGGCTGTGAACACTGCCAGGGTTGGGGCAGCCACAGCCTCCCTGGGCAACCTGGGACAGGGTCTCACCACCCTCACAGGGAAAACCTCTGCCTAAAATCTAATCTCAATTTCCCTCTTTCCATTTCTCCCCATTGCTCCTTGTCCTGTCCCTGCAGTTCCTAACCCAGAGTCCCTCTGCAGCTTTCCTGGAGCCCCTTCAGCTCCTGGAAGGCCTATGGAAAAGGGAAGCCTACATGTAAGCCTCTATTAAGCAGCACAACTGAGTAACAAACCCTATCCTGCACTCTGCAAACTGCACATCCTCAGTCCACAGGCAGTGGAAGGAGTCAGTTACCTCCAACAAAGGGGTTGGGGAATGGATGACAGGAGCTTGCCTTGAGTAAGGACCCAGCAAGGTCATTTCCCCACACACCACACAGAACACTCACTTGATGTCTCCAAGAATCTCTTCACAGTGGTTGTGGTACTCATGTAGCCAAGGCATGATCTGCTCAGGTGCTACCAGAAACAGAGGGCTGAAAGGCTGACCCAGGGCTGCCTGCAAAAGTAAAGGTGAGGGGGAAAAAATCAGTACTAGGTGTGCACCAAACGAGAGAGAAGAAATTCCTAGGGAGATGATGAAGGTTCAGAAGCTCCCCCTCCCCTCGGCCCAGGGCAAGTTAGGAGAGGTGAAACACAAGAGTTACTCACAAAGGCTCTGCGCCGCTCCATCAGGATGTGCACCAGCCCCTGCAGAGGGAACAAACCACACACCAAGCTGCAGTAACTCATGTCTGGGCAAAGTGGCAACAGAGTTACCAGACCTCAGCCAACCCAGAGAGGGCAAACCTGCAGTCAGAAACCCATGATCACTGCTTTTCCAACCACTGCAACTTGCTGAGTTGCTGTAACTCTGGCACTGCTTGTGCCCCAAGCTGCTCACACAGCCCTCAGCCCTTCCCAGAGGGGTGGAGAGCAGAAAGGCTCTCTCCAGCACCTCAGTCCCAGAGTGACTGCTAGACACAAGAGTAGAGCACACGCAGCCTGCCCTGGTCAGGCTCAGCCTAGAGTAGATCACCTGCTCCTTCTGAGACTCTTTACTGCAAACACTGAAGGGAGCTGGGGTGGACATTGCTAAAACATTGCTCTGGATGATCCCAGCAAGGCTGCAGGGACCCTTACAGGAAGGGAAAGGGGATTAGAAGCCCAGACAGGCCCAGCAGTGCCTGGGGAATGAAGGCAGAGCAGGCAATCTGCATTCATCAGCTGCAGCCACAGTGTGTCCCAAAGAGCAGAGCACACCTGCACAGAGCCCCCTCCCCTTCCCACACTCTCAACCTACTGAATGATGATCTGTGTGCATGTGGGACACAAACACAGCCACGATGTTACACAGCACTTGGTCAACTTGCTCTCCATAGTGACGGCAGAGCTGTCCGAAGGTTCCCTCCCCACAGTCCAGGAGGAGGGATCGGGTGGCACTGGCAAGACAAGCGAGAGAGACGTTTAGCAGCCACTGTAGGAGCTCTGAGCAGGGAGGGGAATCTTTTGGGTCTCAGTGCTCTGCACCCCTCAGTGCTGCTCCAGCCCTCCCAGCCAAGGCTTTAGAGACTGTCCCATCTCCTGGTCTTGTGCTGATACTGAACACACCCTTGGAGCAGATGGAGACATTGAATGTTTGGCTTTACAGGTGGATCTCAAGTCTTCCTCACCCACAGAGAGACAAGTGCCTCAAACTGCAGACTCCAGGATGGGGCACCCTCCCTGTGGCACCAACACTGGTCACATCAGCCCTTGGGCAGCACCCCCAAAGACACTGAGCCTCTCCAGGCAGGATGCAGGGATGGCACAGGGATTTACCCCTAGGACACTGAGCCTCTCCAGGCAGGATGCAGAGATGGCACAGGGATTTACCCTTAGGACACTGAGCCTCTCCAGGCAGCATGCAGGGATGGCACTGGGACTTACCTGGTATTCACCAGTGTGGAACTGACATTTCGAATTTTCATTGGAATTGCAGATCCTGTTCCCAAGAACACAATTTCAGGATAAGCAGCCACATTTCCTAGAGAAAACAAAGACAACATGGATTTGTAGGCAAATGTTCTCCACATGCTGTCCAGTCAGACAGAGTTCACCAGCACAGTAACTCCAGAGCCCACATGTCCAGCATGGTCAGTTCTGCCTCTCTCAGCAGCAGGTTCAAGCTGAACAAGCACCATCACTTCTAAAGCACCAAGAGCTCCTAGTTCCCATGACACTGAGCCCAGCCAAGCTGCTGATCCATACCTGGAGCAGCAGACAGGCTCTCTTTGCACTCCTTCACACAGGTCTGGAAGTCAGGAAGATCCAAGGCTTCACTGACAAACATGTCATGATCACAGACAGTCACAGCATCTCTGCAAGAACACACCATGTGTCAGCACGGGGCAGGGCAGGAACTCACACAGCTGTTTCCAGGGCAAATTCCTGTGCCAGAACAGCCTTCCAACAAGGGGGCAAATGCTCTTTCCAAGTTCCAAGTGGGAGAAGACACATCCATGAGTGTGCTATGTGCCAAAAAGGCCTGGCTGGGCTGAGGCAGCCACAGAAACCATCATTCCAGCCAACTGGAGAAGCTCCTGAAATAGCTCTGTCCCAGTCCAGAGATGTCGGGCACCAGAGGACACTGCAAGGTGGCACAGAGAGTTTTGGAAGAGAACAGCCACCCAAAAGGTCTCCAGGCACCACTGCAAAGCATCAAGGACCTGTGTCCTGGGCCTGCACCAGAGCACATGGAGTACTCCAGCCCTTCATATACCTTAAGCAGAGAAACTTACACTCTTCTTGGCATCCGTGTCCATTCGTTCTGCCCAACAGAGCCAGAAACTTGAGCCATGGCAGGTGGTGTCCCCTTGCACCATGTGGTCCCTGGCCCTTAAGGTCCTCATAAGCAGCTTCACTCACTTGCCCACAAAGCCAGCATGAGCAGGGCTGGCAACTCTGCAATCCCCTGGGGCTTTCAGCTCCTATACATGTGAAGACCCAGGAAGTCTGTGTGCTCCCCAAAAAGTCTCTCCCTGCCTTCATCTGCTCTGCCTCAGCCTCAGTTGGGTGCATAGCATGACTGAAAGCAAAGAGCAGAGGACCACAAGGCTATAGGAGTGAGGGACAGATAACACTCCAAATCACTGCCCAGGTGGTGTTTTCAGTGGTTCTCTCCCCATGTCCTACACCTTGTCTGAAACTTCAGAGACAGGGACACAGCCCTCAAAACACACCTCTAGCAGCTGTCCCAGCACAGCCAGCAGAAAGGATCTGCAAAGGATGTGGACAGTGTCCTCCCTCATTGAAAAAAGACTTCAAGCCAACACCCAAACCCTAGGAAGGCAAAGATTCCCACTGACCTCTGCCACTCCTGCTGTGGCCTGAATTGGTACTTGAGCAGACACTCCCCTCGCACGAAGGGCACAGGGCACTCAGCCTCTGCTTCCTGCAGGGAGGAGCTGACATGAGACACAGCTTTGCTCAGGGGCCCCAGGCACATGGGCAAGCAGGGCCCGGCCTACCTTGCTCTGGTAGGTGGTGAGCAGAGGGAAGATCTCTGGGTGGATGAGGTTCAGCTGAGTTTGGATCTTGTAGCTGCGTGGGTTGTGCACAGCAGAGGAGTTCTCATTGAGCACCAAGTGCTGAGTCCCAGGGCCAAACCTGTAAGAGGACAGTAACATGCACAACAGCTTGAGCCCCACCAGGGACAAGACTAGAGGGAATGGCCTTGAGCTAAGCCAGAGCAGAGTCAGAGGAGATGGCAGGAAAATGTTTTCCCTGTGAGGGTGTTCAGGCCCTGGGATATTGCCCAGGGAGGTGATGGAGTCACCATCCCTGGAGGTGTTTAAGAGGTGTCTGGATCTGGCACTGCAGGATATGGTTTAGGGGTGCCAGCAGTGACAGGTTCATGGTTGGACCTGATGACCTTAGAGGTCTCCTCCAGCCGTGATGATTCTGTGATGCCCTGACACGACTCCCAACACCCACAGGATCACATACCTTTCCAGCCACTGCTGGTAGCGACTGTCTCTGAGCACTGACTCCGGAGTGATGTGAATAACCAAGGCCACCTGGTTCTCAGGAAGTCCCTCCTGGTACCTGGGGCACAGAAACAACATCTGCACTTCAGTCCATGCCCTTGGCATCCCCTCCCACCAGTGATGACCCCGAGGCAGGCAGAGCACAGCCCAGGAGCTCCAGGCTCCACATGGCCATAGGCACAAGGCTCAGGCCCACCATCTGCCAACTCCTCCACTGTCCCCCAAAGGCTAATTCCTCTCCTCCATCAGCAACAACATCTGCAGAGCCTCCATGAGCCCAATGTGGTCCTGCACAAGCCCTACAGAGCTGTTACAGGCAGCCCAGGCTTCCAGGACTGCTCCCTAGGCAGACACCAATGCACAGTCATGCTCTGGAGGCTCTGAGGGAAGACACTCTTGAGACAGTCACAGAACCCCTCCAGGTTCTGCCTATCCTAAAAGCCTCAAAATGCAATACCAATCCCTCCTTGCATCTCAAGCTCTTTAAGTGTCACACAGCTCAGACATCAGCCATGAGAACCAGCACATCTAGACCAGAACAAGAGCTTCTCTTTGGCAAAGCTCAGCACAGATGTCCTTCCCCAAACCCTGCAGGCAGCCCAGCTCTACCTTCGGAAGGTCTCATTTTCACAGATGGCATCCACAAAGCCCTCATGAGGACATTCCAGCACCAGGAACACTGGGCCAGGGTCAGTAGGGGTGCACAGTTCTTCAGGGAAGAGCTGCAGGCAGATACACAAAGGTCACACACAACCAACCAGTACACACAGCCCTTCCTGCATCACTCTCTGACTCTTCCGACAGCTGTCCCATCAGGCACACATAGCAGCCACCCCCACCTCAGCAGCTCCTCTCATGGTCAGCAAACTCAGCCAGTGCAGTCCTTGTGTCCTTTCTGCTCTCAATACACACATTTGCATTTTGCTGTGTAACTGCAAATCCCAACCTTGGCCTCAGAGCAAACCACAATCTCAAATAAGGAAGGGAATTCCAGCAGCTTCTAGGTTCCCAATGCAGATTCAGGTGGGAGCAAAAGCAGGTTTAAGGGAAAAAACGCTTTGTGAAATTCTTGTGACTGTGAGGGTGGTGAGACACTGTCCCAGGTTGGCCAGGGAGGCTGGGGCTGCCCCAACCCTGGCAGTGTTCACAGCCAGGTTGGATGAAGCCTTGAGCAACCTGCTCTGGTGGGAGGTGTCCCTGCCCAGGGCAGAGGTTGGGGCTGGATCATCTCTAAGTTCCATTCCAACCCCTTAACAATCTATGATTCTATGTGCTGATCCTTCTCCCAGGTCAGGATGTTCACCTGCAGATCCCCTCGGCCACGGCCAGAGCTGGCTCTGCCTCTCACTCCAGTATTTGAGAGGCTCAGCCCCTGCACCCAGGATCCACTGACCTTCTCTAGGTCTAAGAGGTACACCAAGGGTAAGGAGGGAGTGATGGTTACATAGCCATTCAATCCCCAGACTTACAAATGAACTCCACTAGCTCACTGCTAGACCTGCATCACCTTGGGGAAGGAGAGATGAAGCTCAAACAGCAAGCATCAGCCATACCCACAAAGGAATCCATTCTGAAGTGTACTACCCTGATCACACCCCCAGACATTGAGCAACAGCTTGAAGCTGGAACAGTTCCAGTACCTACTGGTGGGCAAAGCATTCTGCACAAAGGCCTGTCACTGGGAGCCCAGTGAGGGTGGCAAAGCCACAGCAGCAGCACATCTTACCTCTCTGCCTTCAAAAGTGATGCTCTCCCCATTTTTGAGAGCTGTAATGATGGGGAGAATGGCTGGAGTTCCCCTGAAAACAAGGCCACAGAAAGATTTAGCTTGCCAACATCCAATTGCCTGGTGCTGCCCATGCCCCAAGCTGGGATGTCACACTCACACTGGCAGCCCCATCTCCTGGGCTTTGGCTGCTAGGAACTTCCCCTTCTTTGGGTGAATCTGAAAGGAGCAAAACAGAATGATCAGACAGGTAAGGAGGGCCAGGAACAAGCTCCACATCCTGACACTTTTAGTGTTACCCACAAAGCCAAGGGGACTTTTTCCCCATTTCAGTTCCACAGCCACTGCTCTGACTTACCCCAAGAAGCTTTTACTACCCTGTCTGGTTTCCAAGATCATGCTGCTGCTTCTTGCTCTTCTTTAGCCAAGCAAGCAGGACAGCCTGCCCTCCTCTGAACTGCTGCTCTATAAAGAGCATGTCTCCAGTTTTTGCACATTCCTACTCATGCTGCAGCTCCTCTGACATTCACAACACAGCTTCAAAGTCCTAATAAAATGTCCTAATTAGGAAGCATTTCCTGACAAGGAGGAGGGTCAGACTGGCACAGACTCCTCTGAGAGGTGGTCAGTGCCCCAAGCCTGCCAGTGTGTAAGTGACATTTGGAAAATGCCCTTAATAATCTGCTTTAGATTTTAGGCAGCCTGAAGTGCTCAGGCAGTTGGACTGGATGGTCCAACTCTGGAAGTGTTCCAGGCCAGGCTGGATGGGGCTTGGAGAAACCTGGGCTAATGCAAGGTGCTCCTGCCCATGGCAGGGGTGGGATGAGGTGAGCTTTAAGGTCCCTTCCAACCCAAACCAGTCTGTGTTTTTAGATGATGTCTCTAGGTCCTTTCCCACCAAAACACTCTGTTCTGCTCCCCAGTCTGTGTTCATTAGAGACCTCTGTGCCCAAGCTTACTTTACACAGAAAAGCCATCACCACATCAGGCTGCCTACTTGCACACTTCTGCTCAGCACCTGGAAAAAAAAGCAAAACGACTCAAAATCATCACTGGCTATCCCTTTTCTGAAAGCCAAAAAGTGCCAATATTTGCTAAAGTCTTAACAGGAGCAACATCATCCAACTGGGAGCAACGAGATGTCAGAAGCACCCAAGGCCAGAGAGCTCATGGCTTCAGCTACAAAACACCAAACTAAAAGCCCACGACTAGAAAATAAAGTCAACATCCTCCTGTAATGAAACTGCAAAGGCTGGAGCACCCACCCCAGCCAGAAGCAAATTACTCCAGGGATTAATCACCCCCAAGCAGCAATCATATTAGCTTCTAGGCCCCAGGAGTTGTGTGTCAGCTGTCAAAGCAACAGAACACATTGTGCTCCACGGAATCCCCTGAAGACCTCACTTCCAGAGAGCAAAGGGCTCAGAGCACAAATGCATATCCTTAACTTGGCTTTCTCTCATTAAATTTGAAAAGGTCATTCCATGGTTTTCACCTGTTTTCTTTGGGCTTCCTTTTCCTTTGCCTTCCTCTAAGCTTTGCTGTGTAGCTCCTGGGGATCCAGGCCCTGTATCCTCTTTAGGGCTACATCCACCTTGGCTGGATGCTCCAGGTGATGGAGGTGATGGACTCTCAGCAGTCAATGATTTTCCTGTCCCAAATCCAGTAAAAGCAGACAAAGACCACTCAGTCCAGAGGGACAGAGAAGAAAATCAGGAGTAACATTTCCCCTTCCATGAGTCTTGTTTAAATGCACCAGAACAGAGCTCCTCTCCCCAGGCCGACTTGAACTTCACACTCCAGTCCCTTATTCCAGGAGCCCAAATCCTTTAGATTCTTCCCAAACTGCTAAACCCTGTCAAGTCTGAGTTTACCCTCAGCACCAATTTCCAGCAGGAAGAACTCAGCTGGCTGAGAAAGCCAAACCCAAGGATGTTTCCCATGTCATTCCATACACCCACACCTAAAGGAACAAGCCAAGGCCCTGACTCAGCAGGTCACGTCTTTGAAGGACATCCTTCTCCAGGCAAAATTCATTACTGAAGCTCTGCTGACTCAGGCAAGCACAATCTGCTCCTCAAACCCCTCCCTGGTGGTTCCTGAGCTCCTGCACCTCCTGCCTGGCTGCAGCACCACGTGCTCACCTGTCAGAGGGATTTGGCAGACTGTCATCGTCTCGTCCTTGTACTCAGGCTCTGTGTGCAACTGCACAGCTGGGAAGAGACCAAAATCCAGCATTAACCCATGCACAGCAATTCACACTCCACAAGGATATAAATCAGAAAAGGGTCCTTTTTTCCTTCTCAAAACCTGCTGAA